ACAGGGAATGGGCTGATAAAGGATTTGGGCTTGTTCTGATACTTATTTATTTTTCCTCTCACACTTGTATTAGCTAACCACACACACACACACACACACACACACAATTACCGCTTACCACAAATTCTACAGTCAACAACTCTGCATGACCATAAGCCGGCAGATCTAAGACCTGTGCTGTTCACCTTTCATCCCTAGCTGTAGCACTGGGCCTGCTACACAGGTTTTTCAGGAATTAGCTACTGAGTGAATGAACTGTTCAACAGTGATACCAAGGAACCGATGGCTTCCTAATTATTTCTACAAGTCTGTAAATGACTGAGAAAGAGAAAACAGCATTTGTAATAAGAGGAGGAGGATTAGGATGGTTAGCTTAATATTATAACTGTAAAAACACTGGCAGCAGTGATGTTCTCCAGGAATAATTTGAAAATTATTAGAAATTTATAAATTAAAGCTTGTCTTCTTTCTTCCATGTTAAAGACTAAGGGATGACCTACATAGAGAAAGTAGTCAGATTTTTTTTTACAGAAATAGTGCTTGAGACCCTTAATTTTGTTTTTGTAAGATTATCTTTATAGCATTATGTGACAATTGTTAATTAAATTCAGTACATTTTTATACACTTTATACATTTAATTAAATTAGTCCATTTTTTGTTTAGCTAGTAAAATACAATGAACTAATAGGGAATGAGTCAAAGAGGGAACTAAAATGTATTAGAAAGTATTTCTTAACTTGGGTGCACAGATTAAGAACAATCTGATTTTTCAAAATGGTGCTCAGTGATGTTCAGGTGAGATGAGCTTCTCACAGCTGCACGATGATACGTGAGCCATGTTCACCTATGTCAAAGACTTTGGGCCTTATATTGCCATATGTAGAGAGGACAGGCTGGATACCTACACTGAATGGACTGCAACTGTCTATAAACAGACCTTTCTTACGTCCATAATAAAACAACAGTGTGCATATTTACTATGATGAGACATTGTATTTGCTTAAAGCATATATTTAGTATTTGTGGGCATAATAAAAAATCACATGTTTTATTAAAATTCTTTTAAAATTTATTTTGAGAGGCAGAGAGAGTAAGAGCAAGAGGAAGAGATGGAAAGAGGGCACTCCCTTCTACTGGTTAACTCCCCATATGCCTACAACAGCCCCAGCCCAGGGCCAGGCTGATGCTAAAAGCTGGGGACTCAATCCAGGTCTTCCACAAGGGTAGCTGAAACCCAGTCACTTGACCTATCGCTGCTGCCTCCCAGAGTCTGAATGAGCAGGAAGCCAGTGTCAGGAGTGGAGCTGGGTATCAAATCCAGGCACAAGTGTCCCAACAGGTATCCTCACTGCTAGACCAAATGTCTGTCCCTATTCCATATATTTTAAATAGTAAGTATGTCTTTCTAAATATGCTGAATTTTTAAGCATTAGTATCCACACATATTCCCTTTAGGAAACATAACTTTTTAAAACTTTTATTACAGAAAATTCAAACATAAAGTGTGAACAATGTAATGAACTTCAAGAACTGAAAAGCCAGCTTTCACAAGTACCAGCTCATGACCATACTTGTTTCACTCACATGCTCAATGCCTTACCTACACCCTCTCCTCTTAACTTAGTTTTCCAAGCAAATCCACTTCGTGATATTGCCGGGACAGGTACTCTTCTCTGGGCCTCTTTTTTCCCTACACGTTTCTGGGTGGACTAACGCTACAAGGCCCTGGCTGATCTTTTACCATTTCTTGAGATGGGTTATATAGATTGTATCCTTAACAAATGAGGTGGGGGCTGGTGTTGTAGTGTAGTGGGTAAAGCTGCTACCTGCAGTGCCGGCATCCCATATGGACGCCAGTTCTAGTCCCAGTTGCTCCACTTCTGATCCAGCTCTCTGCTATGGCCTGGGAAAGGAGCAAAAGATGGCCCAAGTCCTTGGGTCCCTGCACCCCTGTGGGAGACCTGGAAGAAGCTCCTGGCTCCTGGCTTTGGATTGGTGCAGCTCTGGCTGTTATGGCCAATTGGGCAGTGAACCAGCGGATGTTAGACTCTCTCTCTCATTCTCTGCCTCTTTTCTCTCTGTGTAACTCTGACTTTCAAATAAATAAATAAATCTTTTTTTTTTTTTTAAAGAAATGAGGTAGCATCTCTCCACACTTTTCACCTACCACCATCAGAATAAAGCGCAGGCATGCTTACTGCTTGCTGTAAAACTGTCGGCTTCCCCAGTCGAGCATTCCTTAGCTGAGTAGCAAATCCCTTGCGTGCAGCTATTCTCTGGATCCTTCTGTGTTACTCCTACGGCAAAAGGAGCCAACACACACACGCTGGTGTTCATGCTGCTTACCATACCATGAGTAATAAAATCCTTTGTCTGTAACCTAAGAATCTTGTGTGTTGGCTAGTCACCAGAAAATAATTATAGCCTAGTTAATTAGATTGAGGCAGAATCCAACCAAATCCCAGATACAACACATCTCATTTTATCTGTACATATTTCAGTATATAATCCTAAAACACAAGTTTTTTAAAAAAAGAAACTGCAATACTGCTATTACATCTTAAAAAAATTCTTTACTATCATTGAATACCTCACTCGTGTTCAAATTTTCCCAATTGTTTCATAAATTTTATAATGTGTTTGAGTAAAGATTCAAATAATTTCCATGATTGTATTGGGTAATTTGAATTAAAAAATTTTTATTATAGAAAAATATATGTAGCATAATATCTACAATTTCTAAGTGTATAATTCAGTGGTATTAATTACATTCACAATGTTGTATACCAATCACTGCTGTTTCCAAAACCTTTCCACCTGAATGATTTGAATCTTAAGTATTTTTAATCTAGAAAGATTCCTTCTTTCTCTGGGAGTGTCAATTGGTAAAGTCAACAACAGGAGTCACTGTGCACTTACTCCTCATGTAGGATCTCTGTCCTTAATGTGTTGTGCATTGAGATTTAATGCTATAACAAGTACTCAAATAATATATTTCACTTTGTGTTTCTATGGGGGTGCAAACTGTTGAAATCTTTACTTAATGCATACTAAACTGATCCTCTGTAAAAAAAAAAAAAAAAAGAAAAGAAAAGAAAAGAAACTATCAACTCCCAACTTGACTCTCACTGGGATTAAACATGACAATAGGTCTGATCTGATTTCATCATCATTTAAAAAAAAATCATCTATTATTTTTCACTTTATGTTTCTGTGTGGGAGCAAACTGTTGAAATCCTTACTTAATGTATACTAAGCTGATCTTCTGTATATTAAGATAATCGAAAATGAATCTTGATGTGAATGGAAGGGGAGAGGGAGTGGGAAAGGGGAGGGTTGTGGGTGGGAGGGACGGTATGGGGGGGAAGCCATAGTAATCCATTATTCATACTTTGGAAATGTATATTCATTAAATAAAAGTTAAAAAAAAAATCAGGTCATTTCTACTATAGAGTTTGCACAACCCAGAGTTTGCTATTTTGACAATGATGATATTGTTCAACATACTCCTCTATTCCTATGTTTCCTGTAAATGGGTTTTTGGAGCTAGAGGTTTAATTAGATTCAGATCAGTTTTTTTTTTTTTTTAAGACTGTTTCACATGGGGTTTCATGGGTTTCCATCAGTCTGCACATAATGTGATTGTTCCTTTTTGTGATGTTGGCAGCCAATTAAGATCATTATCTAAATTTTATTAATGGCAACAAAATGTGAATATTTGAATTCTAGTATTTCTTCTTAGTAGTTATGATACTTGTATAGATGAAACAGTTGCAAAGTACTCCACTACACAGATGTTAATTCCACCAGTCTAAACAGAATATTTTATAAGTTGTAATAATTTATCAAACAGAATTTTGTTGTGATTGGTTTTCAAACAAAAGAGAGGGTTTTGTTCTTGCTCTTTGTTTTTTCTCCTAAAGGGTACAGACTAAAGTATCTCAAGACTAAAGTATCATTTGAGGAAAGGTTAAAATCTGTGCCTGTCTGAGAATGTAAGTAAAAATTTTACCTTCCAGAACCATCTGTTACTAAAATGATCCCTTTGTTAAAAGATACTTAGGAATCTGTAATCTGGAAAGAAAGCAGTCTTGGTACAGTCAAGCAATTTGTCTCCTTGGCTTCCCGTGAAGTGTACTGAGAGCTGGAGGGCTGCCTTTACGTGTCTCTTCTGGTTCTTTTTAAATGCATGGATCTAAAATTAAACACAGTGCTCGTTCTGGTGATGGTGCGTGCCAGGATGGCTTATCAGAACATTTTCCTTAGAGCAACTTTGAGACACATCTGTTCAAGTGAATCAGTTACCAACTCAATTGACTCAGAAATCAGAAATTCAGAAGTCACCATATGGATTAAATCACATGCTCCCTTTGCTACTAAAAATATTCAGGCTTTCTTTTTACTCCTCCACTCCCACCCCAACCCTCCAGCATCTGTTAATTTACACTGGGCATTTTGTGGGAATTATAGCTGATAAAAGGTCATGTGACAAAATAATTTTCTAGTATGCTGGGAACTGAATGAACAAAAAGGGAGGAAGAGAGAGCGAGGTATCCTTTGAATTATCTTTTCTAAAATTCCTGATACTTGTTATTTGTTAGCTTATTGTTATCTAAAGTATCTTGTACAAAACTAATACAATTGGGGTCAGCATTGCAGCACAGGTTAAGCCACCACTTATGACAGCGACATCTCATACTGGAGCAGTGGTTCAAGTCCAGCTCTTCTATTTCTGATGAAGGTTCCTGTTAATGTGCCTGGGAAGTAGCAAGAGCTGGCTAAAGTACTTGGGCCGCTGCCACCCATATGGGAGACCAGGATGGAGTTTGTGGCTCCTCACTTTGGTCTGACTTAGCACTGGCTGTTATGGACATTTGAGGAGTGAACCAGGGGATGGAAGATTCTCGCTCTGCCTTTCCCTGTCACTCTGCCTTTGAAATAAATAAATACAAATCTTAAAAAAAAAAAACTAATAAAATCTTGAAATGTAGGGGTATTTTTCCCCATTTCCCTGTCTCTCATAAAAGGAAATAAGAGGGTAAATCAACAATTCACATGTGCATTTGGTGGTATAACACAGTTTTATGTCAGAAGAAAACCTGCTGACTTCACGTTAACAAGGAAAGCAAGTGAAGCTCAAGGAAGTGGCCTGGCTTGAGGGGCAATGACTTCCAAAGTTCCCCTTCCAACTCAGAGAGTGAATGCGGATAGTGTGCTACTTGTGTTTACTAAATATCCTTGGTTTGTTTTCATGTTTCATTGTTCTGAATCAAGTTACTCCAAAACTTGGTGGCTGAGAGCAACACACATTTATCACCTCACAGTGTCTGTGGGTCAGGGACCCAGGGGCAGCTGAGCTTGGGGCTTGGGCTCAGGGTGTCTCTGAGCTGCCATCAGGCTGTGGACACCCATGGCACCTTGTGATTTCCTTACCTGACTGTCAACAGCTTTTGCAAGGTCCCCTGTCCAGTCTGATCACGCGGGGCTTTCCCCAGGGCTGCCTGGGGACACGGAAGTGGCTTTCCCAAGGGCAAGTGATACCAGCACATACTGAGCCCTGGCACTCACATCCCCTGGCATCCCCGCAATGTCTTCATGGGAAAGAACTGCCACCTGGCAGCCCCCTCACAGGGAGGGATCAGGATCACACGAGAGCCTGAGTGTCCGGGACAGGGATCCTTAGGGCAGCAGGGCCATCTTACTACTACAGCTTGTTCATTTCAAAAGCAAAATTTAAAGAATAGAAAATACATCCTCATGGTTAACAATTCAAAATGCTCAAGGTGGGTACAGGGTAAGACGTCTTCCCCATAGTCCTGTCAGCTAGGCCCCTGCTTCAACAAGTTGTCAACCTTTTCTTGTTATCTTTCTAGAGACACTTGCCAGACACTGTGGTGCAACATGGGACTCTGTGGGCACAAACAGGAAGCTGCTCTCCTCGCTTCCTCTCCTTGGCCAGCTGAAGCCTGCTTGGCAGAGATAACTCCTCCCTGCCCCTGGGGTGGAGTCCCAGGTGGGCGCCATAACTTCTCATCTTCCTGTCAGATAACAAGGATGCCGCCAGGTCCAACACAGTTTCATTTCAGAAAGAAAATACTCAGTCCCGAAGTCAGCCACACTGGGAACGTCACAGCTGGGCCTGCGTTAGGCTGGCAGTCTGAGATGGGAAAAGGTGTCGGACTCGGGGTCAGCTTCTCCGGTCCTGGGCTTCATTCTACTCCCTTTTCCTCTTCTGCCTCCTTCTGCTCCCAGCCTTTGTCTCTTCAGAGGTTGTGGGTGGGAAATGAGCAAAGAAAGGTCAGGAAGGAGCTGTTACTTCAGCTTCGGCTCTTTCGTTTTCCCAACTGTAGCTTCCTTGCTGTTTGTAAATTCTTTCTTTCACTGCCAATTGCTTCCAAAGACAGGCCCATGGTCCCTTGGTGCTCCATGGTCCCTTGGTGCTGGGCTTTCTTGTAAAGTCTCCTCTAAGACAGCTCCAGAAGGGCCAGCCTCCTGCTCTCTCGTCCTCTGTCTGGCTCTGGGAAATCCTCACACACCTCTGTAATAGCCTAGACTACTTCTGTTCCTTGGTGGTTTTTAATTTCTCATGTTATCTTGCTCCATTCCCTTAGGAACTGATATCTCTTGGGGACAAGGAATGTTCAACCTTTCACTCCAGGAATTAAAATCCAAAAGAGGAGATGGATCTGCTGGGTGATCGAGTGCTTGTCTTGCATGGGTAGGAAGTGAAAGGCTTTTCTTGTAGAACAGACTTCCCATATGCTGAGATACCTTTGAAGATAAAATAATTGGAGTAATTATGAGTTCTTTCCATAACCTGTGGTTAAACAGGGCAGGGAGGAGTGGTGGGAGGCTGAGGTAATGGCATGGAGCATCTCTAAGAGCTGTGGGGGTCTCAGTTCCAGGAATTGGAGAGCTTTTCTCTCACTCAGAATCACACAGCGATTGCTGCTGTGAATCTGGGTACGAAGGTGGCCCTGTCTGCCATTCCCCTTCCCGGTCCTTCTGTGGTTCATCTGTACTCACAGTGATTTCACTCTGGGTTCACCCTCCCCCACCGGTCCCACAGGAACTCCCATCACAGTCTTCTCCAGGCTGAAGCTAAAATTATTTTTAACAATTAATTAATTAATTAATTTGAAAGGCAGAGATATTTAGATGTCTTCCAACTGCTGATTCACTCCCCAAATGTTTACAACAGCCAGGGCTGGGCAGGCCTAACCCAGGAGCTAGGAACTTAATCTGGGTTTCCCATGTGGATGGCAGGGACCCAAGTACTTGAGCCATCACCTGCTGCCTCTGGTGTATGCATTAGCAGGAAGCTAGAATTGGTAGTGGAGGTGGGACTTAAACCCAGGCACTGCAACATGAGATGAAGTTGTCCTAAGGGTATCTTAATCACTTCATAAAATGTCCAGTGCAAGGCTAGAAATCTTTAGGCAAACTTGACATATGCCTGGTGAGACATAAACAAGACTGCTCTGGGACTTTGTATTCCAACACTAAGCACTAGGCTTTAGTTGCCCATGCAACCAAGCTGATGCTGGATGGCACCCAGGCTATATTGTCAGCTCAAATCCCAAGCTGCCTCCATTCTGTCAACATATTCATATATGAGTTCTCAATTCCAGGAATGTTTTCTTCTTCTTCCATCCTTTGCCTGCATGTCCATTTCAGATCCAGCTTCTATACTTCTGTTCTGGAGGGTGAATATCCTCCTTCTCTTAAAAATATTCATTTTATTTGAAAGGCAGGGGAGGAGGAGGGAGAGAGGGAGCAAGAGACAGAGAGAGAAAGAGAGGGAGAGAGAGGGGGAGAGAGAGAGAGAGAGAGAGAAACTCCCACCTGTTGATTCACACCCCCCCCCCCCAAATGCCTGCAATAGCCAAGGCTGGGCCAGAACTGAATCTGGGTCTCCCATGTGGATGCCACAGACCAATCTACTTGAGCCATCATCTGCTGCCTCCCAAGGTATGCATTAGCAGGAAGCTGTTTCTGGGGGTGGAGGATCCAGGACTGAAACCAGCACTCTACTATAGGATGCAGGCATCCCAGCTTGCAGCCTAACTGCTGTGCTCCATGTCTGCCCCAGGTTTCCTTCTTGGCCATGCTTATAGTGGAATCTTGCCATCAGTGCCCATTTTGGAGATTGAGGTCTTATTATGTATTCACTGATGAACCATCTCTTGTCTGTTTACTTTCTGGAATTTCCAAGTGTTGCTCAGACTTTCAATTCTGCTGCTTCAGTTGGAGCCCTGGAAATTCCCAACCCCAAGGACTCTATCACTGTCCAGTTTGGCTGATATCTGCCACCAACTGGGCCTTCCCCCAGCACCTGTAGGAGTCCTGTGCTATTGTGCTGGAACACTACACCCAGGACATCATCTCTCAGTTGGGCTTCATGGAGATACATATATGTAAGAGATGAATATACCAAAAGTGAATGACAAATCAAAGGCAAATACATTTGATTTGAGGGAAAAAATCCCAAGAGATATCATCATAAGTATGCCAGGAGGTAAAGTATACTTACTAAACAAACAAAATTTAAAATTTAAAAATGAACATCATATTGTGTTAATGTTAATTTCTTAGTTTTGACAAGCGCAGCAGGGACTGTAAGATATTAAGAGAGAATGGGTGAACTCTGTGTACTGTTTTTGCAACTTTTCTGTATATAATATTATTCCAAAATAAAAAATGGAAACAAAAAAGAGTCAAAAGGATTATTTACATTAGAAAAAAGAACTTTATCCTAAACATTTTACATAAATAAAAATGATTTTGGAAAGACATTCTGAAATCTCAGCTCCTGACATAAATGTTTATTGTGATTAGCTGCAGTCCTGCATAAATTCTAGGACAAAGTAGCTGCTGCTTCTTGGACTCACTTTTAGGAAGCTCATTCTTCCAATAAGTAATTATTGACCTAGTATGAGTCTTGTATGTTCTGAGGATACATCATCCCACTGAATACATAAAGATTCTTTTCCTCATGGAATTTACATTCTAGTAGGATGGATAAAATCACAATAAATACTGAATACAACAAACAAGTAAATTACATTGCATGCTTGAAGGTGATAAGTGTTATGGGAGGAAAAACAGAGCAGGAAAATGGTTATCAGGAGTGTGCCTGGGAGGAGTGTAGCTGAGTAAAGATGAAGATGAGGGAATAGAAATGAGGCTATTGAAGGAAGAGCACCCTAGGTGGGGAACAGCAGCAGCAGTGGGAAGGCCCTGAGATGCAGCAAGCCCAGAGTGCTTAAGGAGCAGATAGGGCCAAGTGAGCAAGTGCAGAATTAGCAAGAAGGAAAGACATGGAAGACAAGACCAGTAAGGTGAGCTGGTGTTAAAAGGGGAGGAACACAAATGATATAGGACTTTGGTTTTTGATTCTGAAGGAAATGGGGAGCTATTTCAGGGTTTTGAGCAGAAAAGTAACATGGTCTGCTTATGGATTAATGAGATTATTTGTTGTATTTTTATATAGAGTCTGGTGGATTAGGGTTAGAGGGGAAGAGACAGATTTGCCATCTTCCGGTTCACTCCCCAAAGGGCCACAATGGCCAGGGCTGGACCAGGCTAAAGCCAGGAACCCAGAACTCCACCTTAGTCTCCCACCTGGTTGATAGAGCCATCCTCCCAGGCACACTAGCAGAGAACTAGATGCGAAGTAGAACAGCCTGGACTTAAACTGGCACTGTGATATGGATGCTGCCTGATAAAACCGGCAGCATAAACTGCTGCACCACAATGCTGCCCCTCATTTGGATTGTAAAAAGACCTAGCTGTTAAACATTTGCCAGCACAACACTGCCTACAGCTTTCCCATTTATATCCAAGAGTGTGTACCAGCAGCCCATCCCCATGTCTCCAGCTTCCACTACTTCTAGCAAGTCCCCAGCCACAGGGAGGAAAAGCTTAAATGAAAGAGATTAAATAAATGTTATTTATATTACAAAAAGACAAAAATATCATTTTTCTTTTAAACTTCACACCATTAATACATATTTCATTTTATCAAATCACCATACCTGCGATTGAATTTTTAATGCTGGTCCTAGCTTTAGTCCCATGGTGCCTCGAAGATGCTCCTCTGTGAGTAGTGGCAAAGTCTCCCCATCAATCGCATGGTCTTTAAATACCTTATTAAACACAAAATGTGTTAACCTCGTCCAAACGTCCTTTTTTAAGTGCTTGTTTCACATACAGATATTTCAGTCTTGGGGGAAACAAGTTAAGCCTGCTTGAGGATGACACAAAGAATTCATAAGACTTTCTACGTTTAGTTCTCTTTTCTGTGCTTCCAGAAGTGCACTGTTTGTGCTCATTAGTAACCCTGGCAGTGATGTATAATGCTGTGTTTACAGAACTCACTCCCACCTGGAATCATCATTATTCAAGAGCAGGGCCCCTGTCTTCTTTACCAGTGTAGCCCAAATGCAAAGGCTGTTGTTAAATGGTGGAAAGTACAAAGTAAACATTGCAGGCTGAATCAATCACTGGGCAAACTACTCTGAGTGAAGGCATGTGGGTCAAATTGTCACAGACGAGTGTCTTCCCTCCCATCTACAGGTGTGGTGTCTTCTGTCCACGGCCTTGGTGACTGGTCAAGGGAGGACCCAAGTGAGCAGTGTCACCACTGGATCTTTCCAGCAGCCTCTTTGTTCTGACTCTTTCTTGGAGGTGACCACGCCTTCCTTTCTTCCAGAAGCTAGGAAGTCTGCAGGTGGACAGAAGCTGCAGGCAGGTCAAGAGGTGGATACAAACTGGACTGACAGACAGAAAATAACTTCATGAATTCCTACTTCAACTGGAGGACGATTCTGTGTTCACTGGTGAGCTTTCTCCACCCTCCTCAAATTTAGACCCTAAGAAGTCCTCTTTCATTTTCAGCAAATCATATAGCTTCCTACTTTATATAGAAAAGAACAGAAAAGAGAAAGAAGCTACTAGGTAGGAATTCCTTCTTATTCTGAGGAATGAACCTAAAATCTTACATATACATACATTTTTAATAATTTATTTTAGAGCAAGCATATTTTATCTGCAGGCTTCTTACTTACAACAAACAGTGCTGCAGAATCTCCTGAATGTTCCTAAATAGGTGAGTCGCCAACCTGTTCTACCTATCTATTTAAAGTTAAACGATGGGTGTTGTGGGTACTGTGGTTAAGCTGATGCTTGGGATGCTGTGTCCCCTGTCAGAGTGCCTGGGATAGAGTCCCACCTCTGCTTCTGATACGAGTTCCTGCTAATGTGCCTGGGAGATAGCAGGTGATGGTCAAGGTACTTAGTTTCCTGCCACCCACATGGGAGACCTGGATGGAGTTCCTGGCTTCTGGGATTGGCCTGGAATCCTTACAAAGAGAAGAGTAATGAGGTAGGATTGCCACCATAAATACACTTTCCATACATTTACATCAGCACTCCTTTCCCAGCCGTGACTCTTGTGGGCATCTGGGGAAGTGACTCAGCAGACGGAAGATCTCGCTCTGTCTCTGTTTCTCCCTTTCTCACTTCACCTTTCAAATAATTAAATAAATAAATATTTTTGAAAGAATTCAGGGCTTTGGGTTTCTATTTTCTTTTTTCTCTGAATTTCTTTTTCTGCTTACAGGAGGCGGGTGGTTGGAGGTTGCTGAGCAGGTAGCTAAGGCAGAGGTGAAGAGGACAGAGGGGTGTAACTCTGACTAGCTCCAGGGCTTTGGTGTGGCCCACTTAAAGATGGGCTGTGGGACAGGTGTTTGGGGCAGCTGTTTAGACACAGCTTGGGACACCCACATCCCAGATCAGAGTGACTGGCTTTGATCCCATCTCTGTTTCCAATCCTAGCTTCCTGCTAATATGTATCCTGAGAGACAAAAGGTGACGGTTCAAGTACTGGGGTCCTATGCAGGAGACCTGAATTGAGTTCTGGGTTCCTGGCTTCACCCTTGACTGTTGTGGGCCTTTGGAGAGTAAACCAACAGATAGAAGCTCTCTCTCTGATCCTCAAATAAGTGAAAATTAATATATACATTTTTTAAGAAAATAAAGGGGGGGGGGCGTTGCTGTAGCATAGGGGGTAAAGTCACCACCTGCAGCGCCAGCATCCCATATGGATGCTGGTTTGAGTCCCACTGCTCCACTTCCAATCCAGCTCTCTGCTATGGCCTGGGAAAGCAGTGGAAGACAGCCCAAGTCCTTGGGCCCCTGTACCTGCATGGGAGACCCAGAGGAGGCTCCTGGCTCCTGAGTTTGGATTGGTGCAGCTCCGGCCAGTTGTGGCCATCTGGGGAGTGAACCAGCAGATGGAGGATCTCTCTCTCTCTCTCTCTCTCTCTCTGTCTCTGCTTCTCTGTAACTCTGCCTTTCAAATAAGTAAATAAATCTGTAAAATAATGTAAAAAATAGAGGCTATGTTGCTTCAGGGCTATCACTCCCAGTGCTCCCCACTGCATCAGGGGGTTCTCCCCATTTCTGTATGTAACAGCAGGGCGTATGCACAGCAGAGTAGTGGCATCTTGCAGTTGATATCACCTGCAATAGCTTGGAGGAAGTAGACTTTAATGAGGAAACAAAAGCCAGACATGATCCTAAACACATCTGAGAAATACCTAGAAATAACTGCTTTCACTTGGGGTGGGAAAGGGGCACTGACATCTGTGAGGTGAGGAGTCAGTGGACTGTCATGGGACATTTGGGATGATAACTAGGAAATGCATGTAACATTACTTATCATGAGGGCAGTGATTATAAACTACACGTTTATGACTATAGGTCACTGGCTGACAAAGAATAACCAGAATTCAAGCAAGCTCAGTACACCAGACTTCAGCAGTCACATGCTTGTTACCCGGGAGGTTCTTTGTCTCTGTGTTATTGGAACTTAGTAACTTCTTTGCACCAGTGGCTGATGTGGCACTCGACAGTGGTACAGACATGTTTGAAAAATGCATAATGACTACTACAAGATAATAAGGGTATACCCACTTATAGGAGAAATTAGCACAAATTTTTTTACCAGGCTGTGCAAAAAGACAAAAAATGGATGACCTAAGGAACATAATTTGCCTCAGAAGTAATTTGATGTTCTGCTCTTGCTAGAATATAATGAGCTAATGATGAAATTAGCATGTATTGAGTACTTAACCAGGTGCCAGGCACTTGCTAATGCTCACAATCATCCTTTGAAAATGAATTATCACTATCACCCACATTCTATAGATGAAAAACTGAGGCACAGAGAAGAGTGGCAACTTGTCCCAGGTTACACACACACACAGTGGAAAAGCCAGGTTTTGACTTTGTATTGCCTGGCTTCAGAAGCCATACTCTTAGTTACTATTCTATACAGCTTTTCCATAAGTTCCATAAATAGAATTTTTAAAAAGAAAGGAAATAAGAATTCAAAATGTTGTGCTGTAGGAAAACACTTCACAAAACTGAGTTCTGAAAAAAATCAGCTATAAAATCAGTTAATTGTGATACAGTTAAACCATAATGTCCTTTTGTTGTTTTAGCATGCAAACCAAAGATAATGAGACCACATTGAGCAGATACTTTGTTGCTCAGAATTGTGTTACTGAATCACTCAAAAAAGAAAGTTATATGCATGAAAATGGAGTTGTGGCATAAACCTCAAAAAGTTACCGATCCTTGATTATTGTCACCAATTTTCCCATATGAGTGAGACTAGTTTTCTCTCCAACTGTTCTGAAAGTCCACTATAACTTACCTACCAAATTGAATTATGTGTGTCTGCATTTTTATGTATGTTCTAGCATAAACATGGATCCTCAAAATAGTTAATTTTCTACTTCTCCATTCTATCACTTTCTTGTCCTACTAAGAATGAAGTAGACATTTCTATAACTTAAGGAACAGCCTCAAACTTGATGTGGAAGAATGTGCTCTAAAGCTGTAGATGAACAGGGAACATAGTAGACATTCTTCATTCTTTTTGGATGTTTAGCCTCTGAATTTCCCTCTAATTCTGGGAGAATCCCTACTTTTCAGGACTCTTGATGGCACAGAAGCTAAAGCTGGACACTGACTTTCTCAGCCTCTTCTGATGGTGGGGTATGGGCTCATGATCTAAGCTCTACCAGCCAGGGGCACCTGTTCCAGAGGAGACAATGACATAAAAAGGGGAATGAGTAGGAATCCTCTCTGGGGACAAAATGCAAGTCTGACAAAACTCACCAAGCAGGTTACACAATTCAAGCTGGCTGGCTTCTCTGGTTTGGCTGTCACTTGTCCCTCACAGGATCACATGTTTGGAGTTTGGATGCAGCGTGGTGATGCAGGGCTGATGGAATCTTTGAGAGGGAGGGTAGTGGGAATTCCTTAGGTCACTGGGGGCACTGCCCTAGGAGATGAATACTAGTCTCCTGGAGTGAGTTCTGATGTTTTAAAAGCCTGAGTTTGACCCCAGGGTCTCTGCCTTTTCGTTTCCAAGTGAGATCCTTCCTTTCACATTGCCATCTGTGCTGCTGTGACTCACACAACAGGGCCCTTGAACCTCCAAAATTGTGAGCTAAACAGATCTCTTTCTTTTTTTATAAAGTTAACCTACCTCGGGCATTTCATCATAGTGATGATCACATACTTTTATGAAAAGACTAAAATACAGATCACCTGAGCATAGTGTGAACAACCGGGAAGGTTGCTGATGAAGTTGTGCACATCGTCCACTGTCCATTTCTGAATATCTGCATCCAAACACAGATGTTCTCTGATTGTAACAAGTGCCTGGGTTCCTTGGAAATGGAAAGAAGATTATTTGGTGATATAAAAATTTCCAGGGACAGTTCGGAGCACAGGTTACATTAACTGTCTCGTATTCTGTCACCACAGCATGTTCCCTGAAACTGATGTGTGAACTCCCTCAGAGATATGACATTACTGGGAGATAGTTCCTAAAAGCTTAGCTACCTTGTTTTTCTTACTCCCCTCTAAAAGGATTTTTAAAGGCAGCATTATGGTAAATGAACAAAGAAATTCTAGATTTATGCAACCTCCTCCCAGGTTCCAACAGAAATGTTCTGTGGGTTTCATTCTCCAAATTAACACTACCACATTCCACGGCATTTTGTGATGACTATACTCTCTGGGTGATGCAAGAATTTTGTTGCACCTATATCAAAATAACAAATTAACACTTTGCAGGGAGGCAGTTGTATAGAGGCTAAAGAACACACACTCCAAAATTCCTGTGCCTTAAAATATTTTTACCTAAAGAAGTTCTAGGACGCTAAACAGCATGTATGTTTTCAGGTTTGTGTGTTCACTCTTTCAGGTTCAAAGGTATCACAACTGTAAGTATGACGGAAGACAATGCTCCTGATTAACTGTTGATTTTTTCCCCCACACTTAAGTGCAAGGGAGTGAAAATTTATACTATAAATCAAGAAGTCATCCTATTTTGTGTTAAAAAAAACTAATAGTAAATTAAATGAAAATTTAAGTGAAAAATTCTGGTAGATTTCCCAATACTTCCTTATACTTACTTTCTCAGCCTTGGTTGAAAACTCTCTTTTTTTTTTTTAACTTTTATTTAATGAATATAAATTTCCAAAGTACGATTTATGGATTACAATGGCTTCCCCCACATACCGTCCCTCCCACCCACTACCCTCCCCTTTCCCACTCCCTCTCCCCTTCCATTCACATCAAGATTCATTTTCGATTATCTTAATATACAGAAGATCAGCTTAGTATACATTAAGTAAGGATTTCAACAGTTTGCTCTCACACAGAAACATAAAGTGAAAAATAATAGATGATTTTTTTTTAAATGATGATGAAATCAGATCAGACCTATTGTCATGTTTAATCCCAGTGAGAGTCAAGTTGGGAGTTGATAATTTCTTTATTTTCTTTCTGATTTTAACAAAGGATCAGTTTAGTATACATTAAGTAAAGATTTCAACAGTTTGCACCCCCTTAGAAACACAAAGTGAAATATATTGTTTGAGTACTCGTTATAGCATTAAATCTCAATACACAGCACATTAAGGACAGAGATCCTACATGAGGAGTAAGTGCACAGTGACTCCTGTTGTTGACTTTACCAATTGACACTCCTGTCTATGGCATCAGTAGTCTCCCTATGCTCCAGTCATGAGTTTCCAAGGCTATGGAAGCCCTCTGAGTTCTCCGATTCTTATCTTGTTTAGACAAGGTCATAGTCAAAGTGGAGGTTCTCTCCTCCCTTCAGAGAAAGGTACCTCCTTCTTTGAAGACCTGTTCTTTCCACTGGGATCTCACTCGCAGAGATCTTTTGCCAGAGTGTCTTGGCTTTCCATGCCTGAAATACTCTCGTGGGCTTTTCAGCCAGATCCGAATGCCTTTAGGGCTGATTCTGAGGCCAGAGTGAAAACTCTCTTAATTAGCATTACATAAATAGAGGCTAGTTTCATTGATACAGCTTATTAGATCTGATGTAATGAAGTGACTTTAAGAAGAGGTAATTCCAAACAGGATTAAGAGAATGAAGGGTAAAAAGAGGCACGATGGTCACATAGAGGCACTATGCAATAACTCAAGGACTGGCATTCTTTGGTTCACAAGGACTGCTAATGGCCCCTGGACACCCACCTGGCAGAGCCGCTGGAGGAACTGCAGGACAAGCCCCATTCCTTTCCCCACAGACTGCAAAGATCTGCTCTGAAGTCTTCTCTTTCCCACCATCCCAGGCCTTTGCTTCCAGGGGAGCCGCCTGGGATCCCCAGGGATTCCTGTGAGTGGGCTCAAGCTCTCCACAGGTACTGGAAAGAGCACTCAGCGGCTTTTCATGGATTTCATTTGACTTCTGATTGTCATGCGCTGCAGTTTCCAGGTCTTTTGCATACTCAGTCTCTTCATAGGGACTTGCAGGAATCTGGCCTAGGATTTTTTCCTCTGCTTGAGTTGTGGAACTCTGAGTATCACTGTCTAGAACTTTCTGATTCTCCGTGCCTCTTCTGAGTCGACGGCATTTCTGTCCCCAGCTGTCTATAAAGTGTGGGCCGGTTGCCACCAGCATGGGGTTTTCCTGAAGGTTTCTGAAGGTGCTTCTGTGAAAATGCAGGTCGCTGGCAGGGTGCACACTCCGGCTGTGATAGGCAGCCAGGCCAGCTGGGAGACCAGAACCATACAGCAATGGTACACCTAGGCCTGCTAGCCCCTTAGGACTAACTTTTTCCATTCTCCTTTGCTGGTAAATAGCATACATTTCCATTTCTGTCCTAAAATCAAAACAAGATGTTTTATGCAACCTAAGAAAAACCATTAGAAATATTATTTTAATGGCCCCTTGTCTTTCCTAAGATAGCACTGCTATTTTTTCCTGCATCCCACACTGCTTCTCTGAAGTCTGATCAATGGAAACATGAATCCCCACAAAGCCAATGGGGAAGCAGAGTTTGGCATTGGATCTGAAGGTGAGGGGTTTGGCTGAATATCACCATGGAAGTTCAAGGCCAGTCTTTAGAACATAACCTCTAATAGGGAAAGTTTAGAAGGGATGGGGTAATAGGACAGGTTAATATCTTGCCAGAGATTAATCTTCAAAGAAATTAAAGTACAGGGAAGAAGTTTAAAACCCTGCAGTAAAATCTGAGAGGGACTCAGGAAAGATAACCAGTCAACCCCAGTCTCAACAGTTATAAATCAATGTAAGTGGCTGGGAAAGGTGAACAGGGCTAAAGACCTGTTGGTGCTTTTGTTTACCTCATTTTAAATAATTTTTAAACATTTATTTTCATTTCATTTGAAAATCAGGGAAAGAGATGAGATCTTTCACCTGCTGGTTCCCTGACCAAATGCCCACAATGGCCATGACTGGGCCCGGCCAAAGCCAGGAGCCCTGAACTCAATCTGGGTCTTGCACGTTGGTGCCGGGGACCCAAACCCTTAAGCCATCACTGCTGCCTCCCAGGCTGTGCATCAGAAGGAAGTTGTATCTGAAGCAGAGGAGCGGAGACTCAAACTAGGTGCTCTGGTATGGGGTACAGACATCCCAAGTGATGTCTCAACTGCTGAGCCAGAGGCTGCTCTTGCTTCTTTCACTTTGCTTTTGGTCATCACCTGAACCCTTTAGTGTTCAGTGACAAGAAAATTGACTCTAAGCCTTCTCTCTCCCTAGGCCACACCCTAGACATTAGTGTTTGCTTTCCTTGTCACTGGTGGCCACTGTTAAGCCGAATGGGGTTGTCTGGGCTCCGGTGGTATAGTCTGAAGTGAGGTTGGAAAAATTGGCTGCTGCCTTTTAGCAAGTTTGAAGTTGTTTTAAACAGAAATGCCAATGTGAATTTCGGAGGAATCACAAGGCATTTAATTAGGGAACACTGTCAAACTACTGTAATCTGTAGACTCCTACCACTATTACCTTTATGGTGTGGTTTCTCATCTCCTTTTTAATCCTTAAAAAACCTGTGAATACGTTTATTTTTGTAATCTGCCTGAAATGCTTTCTGTACATAATCAGGGTGTGTGTGTGCACACATGTGTATTCAAGTATTATATAGATACACTTATTAATTTGTCTTGTCAAAAAAAGAAAAAAGAAAAAACAAGACAATTTGTCTTATCTAAAAGAATACTTCAGAAAGTTCATGGAAAATTGAATTAAAATGTGAGTTGATGTTGGTACAGAAAAATTTTGAAATCTGCAAATGAGGAGTACTCAAAAAATTCACAAAAATCTTAATCATGAAACACACACACACACACACACTGCATGCTCCAATTTCTGAGTCTTTTGCATCGTCATCCTCTCCATAAGGAACTGCTTGAGTCTGGCCTAGGATTTTTTCCTCTTGCATTTTCGAACTCTCAGGATCACTGTCTAGAACTTTCTCATGCCCTGTACTTCTTGAGTTGATGACAATTCTGCCTCCCAGCTTTCCATAAAGAGTGATCTGGTTGCACGCACATATATACATAACAAATGAATAAATGAAAAACAGATTGGATAGAAAATAAATAAAATTTGGGATGGGTGTTTGGCACAGAGGTTAAGACACCACTTGGGACACCTGCATCCCGTGCCTGTGTTCAAGACTGAGCTCCACTGCTGATTCTAGCTTCCTTGCTAATGTGTACCCTAGGAGACAGCAAGTGATCCTCAAGTACTTGGGTCCCTGCTACTGCATTGGAAACCTAGATGGAGTCCAGGTCTCCTGGCTTGAGCATGGTCCTACCCAGCTGTTGCAGACATTTGGATAGTGAGCTAGCAGAATTCTCTGTGTCTGTCTCTCTCTCAGTGTATATATCTTTGATTTTCAAATAAATAAATAAATAAATAAATAAAAATTAAAAAAAAAATCCTTATAGAAAAATAAGGAAAACAACACTGTTAAGTTACCTGGCAGTATGACGCCTTTGGGTCATTTCATTCCTTCTGGTCACTGCCTTTACAGATTCAGATGGTAAAATGCCCCAACCTTAAAAAAAAAAAAAAAAAAAAAAAAAAAATCCACTCTCTTCTCTAAAGAGGAAACAAAAAAACAAAACAAAAATCATGATCCACAAATTAAAACCATGCATTTGACTACAGTAAGGTCAAATATAATGATTTAAACAATATCTGTGGGCCGGCGCCATGGCCCATAGGCTAATCCTCCGCCTTGCGGCACCGGCACACTGGATTCTAGTCCCGGTCGGGGTGCCGGATTCTGTCCCAGTTGCTCCTCTTCCAGGCCAGCTCTCTGCTGTGGCCAGGGAGTGCAGTGGAGGATGGCCCAAGTGCTTGGGCCCTGCATCCCATGGGAGACCAGGAGAAGCACCTGGCTCCTGCCATCAGATCAGCGCGGTGCGCCAGCCGTGGCGGCCATTGGAGGGTGAACCAATGGCAAAAGGAAGACCTTTCTCTCTGTCTCTCCTTCTCTCTCACTGTCCACTCTGCCTGTCAAAAAAATAAAAAAAAAAAATAAAAAAAAATAAACAGTATCTGCAAAACAAAAGCATCTGAGCACAGTGTTAGAAGTGTTATTAGATTGGCCGGCACTGTGGCTCACTTGGCTAGTCTTCCGCCTGCGGCACCAGCACCCCAGATTCTAGTCCTGATTGGGGCGCCAGATTCTGTCCCGCTTGCTCCTCTTCCAGTCCAGCTCTCTGCTGTGGCCTGGGAAGGCAGTGGAGGATGGCCCAAGTGCTTGGGCCCTGCACCCGCATGGGAGACCAGGAGAAGCACCTGGCTCCTGGCTTCAGATTGGCGCAGTGCGCAGGCTGTAGCAGCCATTTGGGGGGTGAACCAACGGAAAAGGAAGACCTTTCTCTCTGTCGCTCTCTCTCTCACTGTCTAAATCTGCCTGTCCAAAAAAAAAAAAAAAAAAAAAAGAAATGTTATTAGATCATTGCCACTCAGTTTCTTAGATTCATTTTGGTGATAACTGATAAATGTTAGGTAATTTTTGATTTCTTTGATTAACTGTTGGTCTAACATCTGGTGACAATTTCTTGTTGTGTAGGAGCTGTAAATCAATCTCCTGGCCTCTTGCTTTTTGTTTATTTTTGTCTTTAAATTCTACTTATTTAATGGGGCACAGAGTGAGGTGTTTTCATAAATGTACACATTGCTGAATGATTGAATCCAGTTAAGTAACTTATTCATGTTTTTTTTTGTATGGAAAGAACATTTAAGGCCCCCTTTTTCCAAGGTAAAAAATGTAGCACACAGTGCACTGTTACCAACTGTAGCCTCACGCTATAGAGTGGCTCTCCAGAGCCAATATCTCCTATCTAACAGAAGCTCTGCCTCCTTCAATGGACACCTCCTCACTGCCTGCCTCCCTTCATCTACTGCTCTTGAAGTAAAAATTTATAGGTTTTTTTGGGGGGAGGTAGAAGAGGAAACAGTTGACTTTTTTTTTTTTTTAAAAAAGAGTACTTCTTGATGTATAGAAATCCTAGAAAGAAATGCAATGAGGCTTTAAGTAGATAACGCTACACAAATTGCTCAATGCACACTTCAGTATATCTAAGGTGGAATTATTTTTTCAGAAGGATTTTTCTGGAATTTCTGGCAGCAATTCCATCCTTCTGCTCATGTCAGCCTTCCAAAGTATCTTACAATAATGGCGGCAGCACACAATTTTTAGGCTCTGCTCTTGCCTGGCATACAACTTGATGCTGTGTTGATTTTCCCCTTTTCTGGCCTCATAATGCACTCACAGCATACCTTGGTGCTTTCCAAACCACCTATCATGTAGGACTAGTTTTAGTTATTTTCTCTTTACCTTTCTAACCCATCAGCAAACAATTCTTTATAAAATACAAGAAAATGACTTTCTAGGAAATGGAAATGAAAACAAGGGAAAATAGAAGCACATTTTAAAAATTATTGGATTAACAGACTTAAAATTACCCTGTCAAATGGCTGTACCATTGTCTAAGCCCTTCCTCTCTCTTGTGTGTATAAATCCTTACAGACAACAACTACAGACTACATCATCAAAGTGGTATGTGCACAAAATATACTCAGTTATACACTGTTGCAGTGGATGATATTTTTTCTTGTGTAAATTTGCTCTCCTTAGTAAGAGTAAGCACCATGAGGGCAAAGCTATTTCTTATACTCACTTAGCACCAAGCTAGCAAAGCTCATTAAATTCCTCCTAATAATCTATCTTGAAATAAACCATATTTTTTTAATGAAATTCTTTGTAGTTTGTAGATTCTGAGACTGGATGATGTGACCTATGGAAAGTCTTCTAACTCTAAAGGTTTTTATAGTCCAGTGGCTTCAAGATACTCTTTGGGATAACTGGCACACATGAAATTGCCAAGCACGGCACTGCGTGTGATACAGATAAAGTTCATATGGAAAAGTCCAGTTTAGGGGACATAATACTAATTCCCAGATGCTAGCAATCTCTGAAATCTGGACTCACTAAATCCATTCTAAGGTTCTTTCTCTCTCCCAAATAGGTGACACCAAATAATAAAACACCAACCTTCACTGCTAGTTAAGCTGTACTAATTCACTCCCTGCTATCCCCATGTTAGATCCCATGTTAGCTCCTGTTCTGCTTAGTGGCTCAGTTTCTGCAGTACTGAGGCGCTAACTTGCTCCTGCTATTCTGACACTTCAGCCTTAAAGCAAGAGACCTATGTCCTTGCCTGTCAGTTTATCCAAATATTGGCAGCTGATGGGTTCTTCATGACGGAGAGTGGCTCTCTGATTCAGCAATGAAACTATTTTACTAGTCTATTGATTTGTGGCCTTTAAAGCTGAGCTACAGATTACTGGATTCTTACTGGCAGATGGGCTTCCATCCAGCATTTGCTATGGGCAATGCCTCCTTTGGTTCTTAGACTACTCCACTGGGTAGGTCTAGTTTCAAATCCAACAAGGGCTACATTCCTTGGATGCTCACTCGTGTTGCAGTTCAATGGTTCCACGTCCTGTGGTAGGCAACTTGCTCAAATTGAGGCAGGCACTCTGTTCACTGGCCCAGGCACAAATCCTATTTTCTACTTGTGTTCGGGTTTTCACTCACATCATTCCTATGTAGTAAGAGTTGTTGGAGTTGCAGACCAGGGACAGAAACTCATGAATCTAGTTCAAGGGAGATAAGATCTTCAGTGTTGTAAGAAAACTCATCTCCTGACTGTTCTTGATCTCTACCAGTCATGCTTTCATCAACAAAACTTTGCTCAAATTGCTCTTATTAAGATCACTAACGATCTCCACAAAGCACTAAATCTAATGCTGTGTTCTCAGTCCTCCTCTCACTTGCTCTATGCGTGGCTTACTAGACAAAGTTGCTCACTTTCTAAGACTCTTTCTTCCCATGGCTTTCAGGCCACCATATTCTCTTGGATTCTTCCCCCGCTCACTGATTTGCTCTGTCCCTTTCTCATTCTGCCTCATCTTCTGGACTCACCCCAAAGAAGATCTTATGTAGTCTCATGCAAGCCTATGACTTCCAAAGCTGTGTCTCCAGAAGTCCTCCCTGAACTTCAGCTGTCTTCCTGACTGGCTGGCTGCATCTCAAGTGCACTGTGAGCAAGCTAAGTCCCTGATCTCTCCCTCTCCCTCTCCCCATGAACTCTGTTCCTCCCACAGTCTTCCTTAACTCAGGGAATAATGACTCCACCTTTCTGATTACTCAGCTCCAAATTTCTGGTATCATTCTTAATATAATGGTACTTCAGAAAATTTTGTGGAAAAGTTGAATTTAAGGATAAATTTATTTTTGATGCAGAAAACTTTCTAAATTCATGCATGCTTTTCATAATATGCATCTCCATGAGATTTTTAAAGAAATTACATATATAATTTCAAAATTGTTTCCACCAAAATAAACATTTTAATTCCATTATGAATTTATTATTTAGAGATTTATTTATTTATTCGAAAGGCAGAGTTACGCACACACACACACACACACAGAGCGAGGGAGAGAGAGAGAGAGAGAGAAAGAAAGAGAGAGAATGGCTGCAATGGCTGGGGTTAGGACAGGCTGAAGCCAGGAGCCAGGAGCTCCATTTGGTCTCCCCAGATGGAGTGGCAGGGATCCTCTGCTGCTTTCCCAGACATGTTGCAGTTGGCAGCTTAACCTGCTGTGCTACACCCAGTACCTCCATTAGGCCCTCCCTCCATTATGTTTTTGAAACACTCTCCTACCTCTTTCACCTTCCAGATTCAAACTGAAAAGATCCTATTGTTTCTGCCTGCTGTGAAAATAATTATAGACTCCACCACTCCTTACTACTCCTACTGTTACCACCCAAGGTCACACCATCATAGCCTTTTGACTAATTAAATAGGCTGTTAACTCCTATCAGTTTATCCCAAGTACATTAAACCTATCAAGTCTGTTCTCATCTCAGCAGTTAAACTGCTCTTGGAAAAATAAGATCCAAACCACCCCACTCCTTTCTTGAAGTCCTCCTTTTTACTCAGAAAGAAAGCCAAGTTCTCAGTATAACATATCAGGCCCCATATAAACTGCTCCAAGCCCATTAACACTCAGATCTCATTTCCTCCTAAGCTCATTAGTTCCTCATGTATAGATTAGACAGTAACACTGCCACTCTTCATGTTATTGAGGAGAAGATTGTGTTCAGAGAAATTCAGCAACTTACATTTGGTCACACAGGGATGGCACCACAATTTGAACCTTGTAGAAAATACAAGCATAACCAACACACAGTTCTACCTCTAAAGTCTAGCAGAAAAATGAGAAAAGTGTAACACAGTCATCCAGATCACAGTGGCTCCACAGGATGAGATCCAAACATCTATTTTCCATACCTGAGTAGAGATGATTAGACAACATACTTGGCATATTTGTGTTTGGTAGAACAGAGGATCCAAATTGGGAAGGAACACAAAACTGTCTCAGGTCAGTTGGTGCTATAGTGGAAGGCAATATATCTCTAGGAGAAAAAAAAAATGATATTGCACTAGGTAAAATGAGGACAGAGTTACACAAAATTTCTGATTCTTAGACAGTGAGGTTTATTTACTTGTTTATTTTTATTTGAGACACAAAGAAAGATCTCCCACCCCCTGATCCACTATGACTGAAAATAGAAGCTGGGAACTCAATCCAGCTCTTCTATGTGGTTGACATGGACCCAATTATTTGAGCCGTCACTGCTGCCTCACAGGGTCCACATTTATTTTGTCAAACTCCAGTGATCTCTACAATTCAAACTTTATTGTTCACATTGCATGAACAAGAATAAATGGATCTTATTTTTTCTCATAAAGTCAAAAAATTCTACAGAAAAGAATTGTTCTATCACAAGAAATATAGGTTACCCAAATATGATGGACTTCACTGCCCTGTTCTCTTTCATAAGTAGAAGTAGTAACCCCCCAATATGACTGTATTTGGAGACAGGGCCTTCAAGGAGGGGATTAACATTAGAGGAGCTCTAAGGGCAGGGCCCCCACCTGAAAGAACTTGTGTCCTTTTAAGCAGAGGAAGAGATACTAGATCTCTCTCTCTAAACACACACACACACACACACACACACACACACACATTGTGGCTTTAAAGCAACAATGAGGTTAATATTCCAAAACTTAATGATTATCCATTATTTCCTCGATGAGACCATTACATTGGAAAGAAATACCTGTCCACAATTGGAGGTCCAAATGGTGAGGGAACCAGTGGGATCCTCTGCTGCCCAGAAGCTGTCAATAGAGGGTTTACAGCCATCGTGGGATTCGTCATCAATATCTCTCACCACTGATTGAGTTCTAAAATGAACCAGATAAGTGTATCAACAAATAATCCCACGTTTTGAGACCTATTTGAATTCTTGAAAACCCTTTGCATTTTTTCCAACACTTGGGAATGCTACCTACACCAAGTTTTCAGTTATGCAAAAACCCTCCATAGCAAGCACCCAGACACAACCATAGAATTCGGTGTCTTATAATTATGCCCTTGGAATCTGCTGAAAGTCCACAGATAAGATCATATAATACTACAAACAATAATAAAAAATAAACTAGGCTTGTAAGATTCCAGAAACAGAGGCTGGTGCTGTGGCTTAGCAGGTAAAGCTGCCGTCTGCAGTGCCAGCATCCCATATGGGAGCCAGTTCAAGTTTTGGATGCTCCTCTTCTGATCCAGCTCTCTTCTGTGGCCTGAGAAAGCAGAAGGTGGCCCAAGTCTTTGGGCCCCTGTACTCACGTGGGATACCAGGAAGAAATTCCTGGCTCTTGGCTTTGGACTGGCATAGCTCTGGCCGTTGCGGCCATCTAGGGAGTAAACCAATGGATGGAAGTTCTCTCTCTCACTCTCTCTCTCTCTGCCTTTTCAAATAAAGTGAATAAATCTTTTAAAAAAAGGTTCCAGAAACATACATAAACTTCCTTTCTTACAACTTGTTTTGATTTTTATATTTCTAGAGGTACAAATGCAAAAATTTTCCTGTATGTTCAATCTTTGGAAAAGTAGTTCCATTTGGTTGATAATATTGAAACAGAAAAGGAGAGAAGAGAATCTTCATAATGGTTAAAAATATATCTAGTTAGGATGGCTTCAAAAAGACTATATGAGACTATATTTAATTAGAACAGGTGACCAAATTATATCAAAGCTTCCATAAACAGAAGTATTCATATGCATGCCTTCAGAACCTACTGATCAGAAAAAAATAACAACTGTTCAAGAGATAATATTTTGCTTTATGTTTTTGTTAATTATTAATATCCTTTGAATAATTTCAAATGCCAAATACTAGTGAAAGAGATAACTTTAACCGCTTTCTTCTTTCTTTGTTATATTCCTATGTGCATATTTGACCTAATTTTTAAGTTAATTCATATATGTGGTTTAAAACTACAATGTAATGGTATTTAAATATGTATGAGTAAAAAACAAATAAATAAACATTCAATCACTTCTTCAGTTTCTTTTTCAAATCTAAACCTACTGATCAAATTAGAAATTCAAATCCAAGGGTCACCTAACATTGGCTTTTACCATGTATCTTTTTCTTTTCTTTAAGTTCTTCTTGTTCATTTATTTTCACAGTATTTCTGTGAGGGCAGTATAATTTACTCTCTGATACTGTCCTTAGAGGGCTTAGGAACAGTATAGGCAGGATTAGAATAAAAACATTTGACAGGTGCCTGCAAGCCATGGTGAGGATGCCAACGGAGAACACAGGCTGGATCACATGTGAGCTTGCAACTCTAGCCCACACCCTGCCCTGCAGCTTGAAATCTCAGCTGCTCCACATAAGGCTTGGTGTACAGCCTCCTTCTCTCCCCTAGATCACTGTCAACAGAGCAATATGGAATACAACTTGGTGTTTCATCTTGAACTGTTGTATTTTGATATTTACCTTGCATTGATGGTCTCAAGCTGAAGTTTGATCTTCCCCATGAGTGAGACAGAATCTTTGAAGATATAGAGCTATAGGGACTATGTAGAACAGGTCTCCAAAACTGATTTGTCTACTGAAACTTTATTCCCATTGAACAACCACTCTCATTTCCCCCAACTCCCACCCTTGGCAACCACTATCATATTCTCTGCTCCTATGAATCTGTTTCAGATACTTCACAGAATTGTAAAATCATGCAGAAGTCATCCTGTTTCAACTGCCTTATTTCACTTAGCATATTATCCTCCAGGCTCATCCACTGTGCACTTCAAAATTTGTTAGGACAGTAGCCCTTGTGTTAAGTGTTCTTGCCTCATGGACACACAAAAAATGAACAAAAACTAAGGGACATGAGGAAACCTTGGAAAGTGTTGAATGTATCTGTTACCTTGACTGTGGTGAGGTGTGTGCATATGTCCAAGTTCATCCACTTGTAACATTAAATATGTGCAGCAATATCAGTTCTTCTTCAATAAAACTGTTTACACTCTGCATTCTATGTTATGTGTGAGACAAATCAGGAGGAAGGAGAAGAAAAAGGGAGAAGGAAGAAAGGAAGAGCAGAGAATGGTTTAGACTGATCACCCCAATCGTCCTTCATGTGTGCTACTGTGGGAAATGCCATGGAAGTGAGTCACCGCAAGAAGGATTTTCGAATTCAACTGGGGCTCAATTCTGCCCCAGTTGAGGACTCCGAAAGAAAACTTGTGATCCACGCCTCAGAACTGTCGCAGTGAAGGACAGAGTTGGCCATTCACTGAGTGCACAATTCTCCCTTATACTTTCCTTAACTCTGAGCTGGATTTGGCAAGCTCCTGTGGTGTGGGAGGAAACATTCAGAGTGAGAAGCAGACAGATGCACATGATGACAAGTGACCTCTCTGGCTGCAGGTGAACTCTGAAGGTGGCTATGAAGGTGTAAGATAGAGCAGCAACAGTGTTTACAGCGCTGTTCAAAGAATAGCTACTTTCTAATGCCACCCCACTAAGTCACCAGCACCAATGCCTTTCCTCCCAAGTGCCAGGTTCCCCAGTTACAGGCACATTTTACAAGGCTCTGTAGAGTCCATTCATTGCACTAGCACAACAAGATATTTTTCATCATTAATCACACGTTCAGTAAGACTCAGTGCTATCAGGCCAACAGGAAAGGAAGCATCAAAGGCAAGTCTCATCTAATTGACCACTAAAGCCATCCTCAGTACCTGGTCTGTTCTTGATTCCATGATTCTTAGGTCTCACATTCTTTGCTTTTGCAATGCCAGATAGGGTTGAACCTAATTTATAAAATTTTATTACTTATGATGTGATGAATTATTATTTCATAATTAAGCCACTAAATTTTTTCCTAAAATGCAAACTATTCCCAATGTCTATGAAAATGTTTCCCACATCACGTAATGGGAGGAAAACAAGTCATTGACAACTGCAACACCTGAGTCTCAAAGTACTGAGCTACATCTTGTTCCCCTGGTTCCTTTTCAGCCTTTTGACTGTGAGCAAGTACTTATTTTCTTTGCATTATCATATCTATTGTTGCCCCAATCTTTTAAGAAAAAAGCATTGCCTTGCCTCATTTGTATACCCAGAATACGTTTTTACATTTTAGAGCCATTTAGGTTCACAGCAAAAGTGAGCAGCTGATACAGAGTTTCTTTTTACTCCCTGGTCCCTTACATACACTGCCTCTCTATCAAGCAGAAGGTACATTTTTACAATGGATGAACCCACATCTACACATCATTGTCACTCAAAGTCCAAAGTTTACACTTTTGATTTTGTACTTTCTATGAGTTTTGATAAATGTATAATGGCATGTATCCACTATCACAGTATTATGCAGACTAAATTCACTGCCTTAAACTAAATTACATATAGTCTTATAAATATTGTTTAATAGTATATTAGAGTTTTATTTTATTTATTTACTTATATAAAGGGAACAGATTTCATATATTTCATGTATACCATTTAGGAGTAGAATGATACTTCCCATACCACTTCCTTATTTTCTTATAGTTTTTGCAATCACATTCTTTCAAATTACTTTATAATCCCCACTAAATAAAGACTTCAACAAGTACTAAGTAGAGAGAATACTGTTCCTCAGGAATATAGACAAGGGCTATAAACAATAATCAAATATCAAGATGTCAACTTCACTCATATACTTTACATTTTTCATACTCTATATACTAGCTATCACAGATCACAGAAAGCATGATATTTTTATTTTGGGACTGGCTTATTTCACTAAGTATAATGGTCTCCAACTGCACCCATTTTGAATTGAATTTTCTATGGTTAAGTAGTATTCCATGATGTATATGTGCCACATTTTCTTTATCTACACATCAGTTGATGGAAATCAGGTTGATTCCATATCTTAGCTGTTGTGAGTTGAGTTGCCATTAACATGAGGGTTATAGATAACTCTTCCATATGCTTATTTTATTTCTTTGGGGGTAAATTACCAAGAATGAGATGGCTGGATCATATGGTAATCTATTTTCAGATCTCTGAGGAGTCTCCATACTGTTTTTCATAATGGTTGTACTAGTTTAAATTCCCACCAACAGTGGATTAGGGTACCTTGTTTACCACATCCTTCCAGCATTTGTTATTTTTTGATTTTTGGATGATAAACATCTAACTAACTAACTGAGGTGAAGTGAGACCTCATTGTGGTTTTTATTTGTATTTCCCTAATAGCTAGTGATCCTGAGCATCTTTTCATGTGACTGTTACTTGACTGTATTTCATCCCTTGAAAGATGCCTGTTCTTATCATTACCCCATTTCTTACGTGGATTATTTTTGTTGTTGTTGAGTTTCTTGAGCTCCTTACATATTCTGGATATTAATCCTTTATCAGATGTACAGTTTGCAAATATTTTCCCCCATTGTGTCACTGACTCTACACTTTGTCTAGTGTTTCTTTTTTCTTTTTTTTTTTTTTATTTTTTATTTTTTTTGACAGGCAGAGTGGACAGTGAGAGAGAGAGACAGAGAGAAAGGTCTTCCTTTGCCGTTGGTTCACCCTCCAATGGCCGCCGCGGCCAGCGCGCTGCGGCCGGCGCACCGCGCTGATCCGATGGCAGGAGCCAGGAGCCAGGTGCTTTTCCTGGTCTCCCATGGGGTGCAGGGCCCAAGCACCTGGGCCATCCTCCACTGCACTCCCTGGCCACAGCAGAGAGCTGGCCTGGAAGAGGGGCAACCGGGACAGAATCCGGCGCCCCGACCGGGACTAGAACTCGGTGTGCCGGCGCCGCTAGGCGGAGGATTAGCCTAGTGAGCCGCGGCGCCGGCCTAGTGTTTCTTTTGTTGTGCAGAAGCTTCTTAGCTTGATGTAATCCCATTTGCCTATTTTTGTTTTTATTGCTTCTGGGATTTTATCCAAGAAGTCTTTGCTTAGGCCAA